AGCCTGGGGCTGCAGGGCAAGGAAAGAGGGGAGGTGCCTGGTGCAAACCAAGCCCCAGAGCCAGTGGGAGAGCCTGTGCCCCAGAGCAGAGCAGCCATCCCCAGTGAGGCTCCCGGGCAAGCGGAAGTGCCGGCGGCTGGGAAGAGAAGCACCTGTGTTTGCTCAGCTGGAGCCCAAAAAAGCCAAGGAGGCCAGTGCCCTCCTGGGACTGGCAGAGGGGGAAGCTTTCCCCTGGCACTGGAGGTGCAGACAGGCTTGGCCGTGCTGAACTGGGGCCAAAGGTGTGGGCTGGACGGCTGGAGAACCGGAGGCAGCAGGGCATCCATCTTGAAGGGATGGGTGCCCCGGCACCTGCAGGGGGGTGCTGAGTGTCCCCTGGAGCCCTGTGTCTCTGGCCCGGGGAGCAGTGGTGTTTCAGCTGCAGCGCCCCATTCATCTAGGTACCGCTCTCTGCCCCGCCGTGCTCCTCGAGCAGCGTCAGTCCTGCAGAGCAGCGCCTCTGCTTTCCCTCTGGCGCCCATCGCAGGGCGGCTCCAGCATCCGGGCAGTGTCGAGGGGTGTTTAATCAAAAGGCACTTCAGCTTCACATCAATCTATTACTTTTTTTTTTTTTTTTTTAGCTTTTTCTTTTTTGACTTTTAAAAGTCTCACTTTTCAACTCTTCTTGTGATAAGATCAGCTGTCAGTGGTTTTGGACTTTAAACTTGAGGTTTGGGGATTTTTTTTTTAACCTGTTTGGTGGCCTTTGACAAGGCAAATGAGTGTGCTCACTCCGAGGAGGGGGGAGGATTATCTGGGAGAAAACCATGCTGAGGTGAAGACAAGAGGGAGGGAAATCACCAGACTGTGTGGGTCCGCCACTGTTATAGACCTCGGCAGATCCCTTCAAGGAGGGATGAAGATCCCAGCTGTGCCAGAAGAAAAGGTTGTAAAGTGTTTGCCATGGGAAGACAACCCAAACCCACTTGCCCCTCACTCCCCCATCTTCCCCGCCTCATTCCAGTGTTTCTTGTCAAAGCCAGCGGTTTTGGTCCTCTTGTACAACGCAACGTTTCGATCCACCCACTCCTCCCCGCCCCCGTGCCAGCAGGTCCCGCTCAGCAGCAGAAATCTGGATTTCTGTGGAAATACCCGCTTTGCAGGGAGAACCGAGTGTTGCTGGAAAGCAAAACTTTGGGAGGGCAGTGGGAGAAATGGGCTGCTGAGCACCAGCAGCTGGGGTCAATCACCATGGGTAAAATTTGCAGCGGGAGCATCCTAAACCTCAACAAGCCCAAGGAGGGGACCCAAAGTGCTGGTGGAGGCTGGAAATGGGATTT